TTAAAACATTTAAAGCACCTACCACAGAGTTAAGACTATTTAAAGTGTTAATATTACTGTGTTTTTTTTGTTTGTTTGTTTTTATCCTCACCCGAGGACATTTTTCCATTTTTTGTTCAGGTAGAGTGGGAGGGAGAGAGAGGAACAGAGAGAGAGAGAGAAACATCGATGTGAAAGGAACACATCGAGTGACTGCCACCCGCACAACCGACCAGGGCTGGGGACAAAGTGCAACCGAGGTACGCGCCCTTAGCGGGAACCGAACCCGTGTCTCTCAGGACCACAGGCCGACGCTCTAACCGCTGAGCCAAACCGGCCAGGGCGTTAATATTACTGTTAATATGAAAGCATATGCAAGTTGGAAGTTAGCATATCACAAAACCAATGTTCAGTTTTAAAAGTAAAAAAAGAAACACTTTTAGCACAGTATCACTAATGTGAATTGAACATATTTTTATAACTACACATTTTACAAGACAGGCACCAAAGATATACATTGAACACATCAAAATGGGTGCCTATGGCCCACCCGGTGTGGCTCAGTGATTGAGAATGGTTATACTCTTTACATTCAATGCACCAAGAGGTCACTGATTCAATTCCTGGTCAAGGCACATGCCCAGGTTGTGGGGCAAATCCCCAGTCAGGGGGCTTGCAGGACGCAGCCAATCCATGTTCTCTCTCATCAATGTTTCTATCTCTCTCCCTCTTTCTTCCTCTCTCTCTAAAATCAATAAGAAAAAAAATTATAAATAAATAAATAAAATAATATTTTAAAAAATGAATGCCTATAGGATACAAGGAATGAGGCTCGAGTTCAGGAATAAAGGGGAAGACTACAAAACAAGAAAAGGGCTTTTCCTGAATCATTTTGTTAATATACCATGAAAGGAGGAACAAGATTTATCCACGTATGCAATCTGTAACTGAGGGGGGAAAACAAGGTGTCTTTAAAACATCTATAGATGCCTGGCTGTTGTGGCTCACTGGTTGAGTGTCTACCCATGTACTAAAAGGTTGCCGGTTTGATTCCTGGTCAGGGCACATGCCCAGGTTGTAGGCCAGGTCCCCAGTGGGGGGTATGCAGAAGGCAGGCAATCTATATTCTCTCTCATCGATGTTTCTCTCTCTCTTCCCCCCTCCTCTAATAAAAAATATATTAAAAAAAATTTTAAACAAATAAAACATCCACAGCCCCGGCCGGTTTGGCTCAGCGGTTAGAGCGTCAGCCTGCGGTCCACAGAGACCCAGGTTCAGTTCCCGCTAAGGGCATGTACCTTGGCTGCAGTTTGTCCCCGGCCCTGGTTGGGTCATGTGGGTGGCAGCCACTTGATGTGTCCCTTTCACATCAATGTTTTTCTCTCTTCCTCTCTCTCCTTCCCGCTCTATCTGAGTAAAAAATGGAAAAATGTCCTTGGATGAGGATAAAAAAAAAACAAAAAACAAAAAAAAACAAATAAAACATCCACAGAAAGCCAAGAAAAGGATCCCAGAGGCAGAGAAATGACGAACTAATCAACTTGGCAGCCACTCCATCTTAAAACTTATCATTAGGTGAAATAGTACTATCCTTACTGTTTGAGGCAGGGATAGGTTTTCTGTTACTTGTAGCCCAAAGCATCTTAACAGAGTATTAATGTAATCTTTTGAGTGGCAAAATGAGAAACAAACAGAATTATGATTTATCCAAATTTAACTCAGCTGAGGTGTTGTCTAAATGGAAGTTCCGAAAGAAAATGCAAATTTTAAGTAACCTACTGTGTTTAGCAAGCCAGACTCTCTCCAGTGTATTTAAAACTTCTATAAGCCCTGGCTGGTGTGGTTCAGTTGGTTGAGTATTGTCCTGTACACCGAAAGGTTGCCAGTTTTATTCCCAGTCAGAGCACATACAGTTTCAATCCCAGTGTGTATAGGAGTATAGGAAGCAACCATCAACATTTCTCTCTTCCTCTCCCTCCCTCTGTCTAAAATCAATAAAAACATATTTTTAAAAAACAACTCTAAGTATTTTTTAAAAATATTTTTTCTTTATTGCTTTTAGAGAGACAGGAAGGGAGAAATAGAAACACTGATGACAGAGAACATCATTTGGCCTCCTCTTGCATGCCCCCCACTGGGGATCAGGCCTACAACCTGGGCACGTGCCCTGACCAAGAATCGAACTGGCGACCTTTTGATGCATGGGTTGACGCTCAACTACTGAGCCACCACACCCGGCTGGGCAACAACTCTAAGTATTAAAATGATCAATACTTATCCCACTAAAAAGTTACTTTAAAAAGTCCATTAAAAGTCAAATGATAAATGGGGAAAATTATATAAGTGCTCCTTACAAATTAATAAAGAAAAGATAAACAATGAAGAAAAGGGAATTATACTTTTCCTTTTAAAAAATTTATCTTTATTGTTGAAATTATTACAGATGTCCCTCCTTTTCTCCCCCATTACATAAGTAAAAACTGTCCAATAAAGATTAAAATGTAAACCTCACTGATGAATACTTTGAAAATTAAGATTTCAGACCTGGCCAGTTTGGCTCAGCGGTTAGAGCGTCGGCCTGCGGTCCAGAGAGACCCGGGTTCGGTTCCCGCTAAGGGCACGTACCTCAGTTACAGTTTGTCCCCGGCCCTGGTTGAGTCGTGCGGGTGGCAACTACTCGATGTGTCCCTTTCATGTCAATGTTTGTTTCTCTCTCTCTCTCCCTCCCACTCCCACTTTACCTGAACAAAAAATGGAAAAATGTCCTTGGGTGAGGATTAAAACAAAAAAGAAAGAAAATTAAGATTTCATGTCACACCCAGTTTTGGCAGCAGTGCTGGAAACCTCATTTATAGCTGGCAGGGAGTAAAAACCAGGACATTTCTGGAAGGCATTTGGCAACGCATGACAGATGTCTTAAAATAGTGCAAGTAGTGCATACTCTTTGACTTAGCAGTTCCCTAGAAGTTATTGTAAATAATAATCATAGCCCTGGCTGGTTTGGCTCAGCAGTTAAAGCGTCGGACCGAGGACCAAATAGTCGAGGGTTTGATTCTAGTCAAGGGCACATACCTCGGTTGTGGTTTGCTCCCAGCCTTCATTGAGGTACTGCAGGAGGCAGCCAACCGATTGATGTTTCTCTCTCTCTCCCCCCATGGCCCCACTCTATCTGAAGATAAACGAAAAAATATCCTGGGTGAGGATTATGAAATAAATAAATATGCCCTGGCTGGTTTGGCTCAGTGGGTGGAGCGTCGGCCTGCGGACCAGAGAATCCCGGGTTCAGTTACCGCTAAGGGCACATACCAAAAATATAAATAAATAAAAATCAATCAATCAATCAATCAATCAATCATAGATGTCAACAAAGATTTAATTAAAAGCAGTAGCATTGCAGGATTGTTTAGAAAAGCAAAAAATTGGGATCAAACTAAAAATCCCAAAGTAGAAGAATAGATTAATTTATGGAAAATCCATATAATAGGATACAAATACCAATAGAATTCTCATTACTTAAATACCTGCTCTGCTAATTAGTATCTGTATAGCTCAGGGATAGCTAGTTAATCTCTTTGCACTTCAGTTTCCCTGTTTATAAAATGGGTCTGTTGTGAAGATTAATTAACATACATAAAGCACTTAGGATAGCACTGACATATATAAGAACTCAATAAATGAGTTTTGTGTTTGTTTTTACAAAAGGACATTGTAGCCTTGGCCGGTTTGGCTCAGCGGTTAGAGTGTCAGCCTGCAGTCCAGAGAGACCCGGGTTCGATTTCCGCTAAGGGAGTGTACCTCGGTTGCAGTTTTTCCCCCGGCACTGGTTGGTGGTGCGGGTGGCAGCCACTCTGTGTGTTGATGTTTCTCTCTCCCTCTCTCTTCCCCCCCGCCCCCACTCTATCTGAACAAAAAAATGGAAAAATGTCCTCAGGTGAGGATTAGAAAAAAAAAAAAAAGACAAAAGGACATTGTAGCCTAATATCCTATAAAGATGTTAATAATAAATTAAACTAAAAAGGTTATAAGCCAGTATATACAAAATATTTTTATAAAATAAATGTATCTCATATACATAAATATACAAAAATAAAGACTAGAAAGATATAGTCTATATGCCCTGGCTGGTTTGGCTCAGCGGTTGGAGTGCTGGCCTGTGGACCAGAGAGTCCTGGGTTCGATTCCTGCTAGGGACACATATCAAAAAAAATCTCTCTCTCTATATCTATATATATATAGTATACCAAAATAAAAATAGTACATCTCTTTGAATAATAGGATTACAGGTTATTTTTCTTATTGTTTATTTATTTATGTTAACCCAAACCTGAGGATATTTTTTCCATTGATTTTTAGAGAGTGGAAGGGGGGGGGGTGACAGAGAGAGAAACATCAATGAGAGAGAGACACATTTATTGGTGCTTCCTGCAGCACCCCGATCAGGGTGGGGGATTGAACCTGCAACTGAAGTACATGCCTTTGACTGGGAATCAAACCTGAGACCCTTCAGTCCACAGGCCCATACTCTAACTACTGAGCCAAACTAGCCAGGGCTATTTTTCTTATTTTTGTATTTAAAAAATTTTCAACAACAAACACAGCTTTTATGAGAGGTAAAAACTATCATCTCTATGAAAATTAAAACTAAAAACTGTCACCCTGGCTGGTTTGGCTCAGCAGTTAGAGCGTCAGCCTGTGGTCCAGAGAGACCCGGGTTCGGTTCCTGCTAAGGGCACGTACCTCAGTTGCAGTTTGTCCCAGCCCTGGATGGGTTGTGCGGGTGGCAACCACTTGATGTGTCCCTTTCATGTCGATGTTTCTCTCTCTCTCCCCCCCGCCTCCCACTCTATCTGAACAAAAATTGGAAAAATGTCCTCGGGTGAGGACAAAAAAAAAACGGTTGTGGTATTAGAAAGGTTGAGAACCACCACTCTTGTGGGAGGCAGCCAATCGATGTGTCTCTCTCACATCAATGTTTCTCTCTCTCTCCTCCTTCCCTGTCACACTCTCTAAAAAAAATAAAAATAAAAACTGTCAGTTTTTTGCTCCAATTGGTAATGAATCCATCCCAAACTAACAGAGTAATGGGGTAGAGTCAGAAATACAGACATTTCCTTTCACAGCCTTTATTACCACACAATACGAGCTCAGTGTTATTTTACAAACCTTATACACAAATGGCAAAACAATTAAGAGATTTTTCTTTCCAGAAGTTAATTTATTCATTTCTCCCTCTTTATGCAGAGGGATTAAATAGATTCTCCATGTTTTCCTGAGTCTTTAATTTAGAAAGGCTGTCACAAAAGTGAACTTGCCACATGAGGAAAACAGAAAAGAACCAATTAAGTTTTCACTGTCCTCCTTCCTGAGGGGAGACTGCCTAGCTGGCAGTTGTGAATGGTCTTGGTAACAGGCAAAAACAGGCCCCAATGGTGGACAGATTATTTTAGTCACATGAGCCGTTTGGGGTCAATTTTCTCTAGGTGAACTAGAGGTTTCAGCTGCTCTGCAAAGTTCCTCATGTCATCAGAGACCATGTCCTGCCCAGCTGGTGCAACGACACTTAGTTCCACAAGATAGGAGAGTGACAAAGCCTCAATGCTGTCTGTGTTCCCTGGCACCAGGATACGAAAGATCTTGTACACCATAATCTTCATGATGCCCTTACGGAACAAGTGTCCCTTGGCTACAAACTCATGGTCCATGCGGAAGCCCATTTCCATCAGGAAGTCAGTGAGGTTCTCAGATGTTGCAATGTCCACACAGTTTCTTACCAGGGCATGGCGGTTCTTGTCTCCCACTTCAGGCTGTCCCAGGTAGCGCAGATGCCAGGGCCCCCCTGCCCTGTCCATAGAGCGCCGGGCCCTTAGAACAAATGGACTGGCCTGCTGGCCTTTAAGGAGGAATACCATCTCATGGTCAAGGAAAGTCTCAGGTTCCATGTTGTCACACAAACCACGAAGGCGATGGATAAGGCTTTCCAAGCTGTGATCTAAAACACTTCCTGAAGAAGGAAAAAGCATTACTGAGTCCCCTATCTTTCATTCTGGGTAATGAAATTAGTAAAAGTTTGAAAAAACTTAAATGAACCAAACACTTTTGTGCAGTGTTTTTGTAAAGCACAGGCCTAATATATGAGATTTTAGAGGGGTTATGCTGCCCAAGTATTGTGTACCATCGTGAGACAGTGAATCCCTTGTTTTATTTGGTACTGGAAAGTCTTCAGGCCTTCTCTAACAATGCTAATCTGCAGTAGGCTTGGGGCTCAGAACCTTTAACAGGCAACAGTATCTAGAATGTAATATTATTTTGCTGTCATTTAAGAATTATCTATTTCCAGCAAACAAAAGTTCCCTCTATAGAATATACATTTCTTTTTTATGTAATATAATTTAAGTAAAAGAAAATGAACTGCTTCAAAGAAATATACAAATATTCTCATCTTATTCATCCTCCTGGCAGCATTTGACATAGTTGTTATAGATCACACCCACATTTTTTTTTAAATACAGGCCTTAAATATAGTCCATGGTAATGGTTGCATTTTATTCTAAGGTTATTGGGCAGCTTAGTTCCATACTTTGTTCTCCACACAACAGGGAAAGACATGACTAGATTTACTTTTTTTGTTGTTGTTAATCCTCATCCGAGGATATTTTTCCATTGATTTTTAGATAGAGTAGAAAGGAGGGAGGGGAAGAGAGAGAGAGATAAACAATGATTGGTTGCCTCCTGTACATCCCTGATTGGAGCCAGGATTGAACTGCAACCCAGTTATGTGCCCTTAAGTGGGAATCGAACCCAGGACCCTTCGATCCGAGGGCCAATGTTCTAACTGCTGAGCGAAACCAGCCAGAGCTAGATTGACATTGTAAAACGATCATTCCATGAAAACTGGTATGGACTCTTCAACAAGACATGGTCATGGGAAAAAAAGTGGGGGCAAGGGTGGACTGATCCAAATTAAAAGAGACAATTATCAAATATAGTACATGAAACTTGACTGTATCCTGGTTACAAAACACATTTTTGGGACCACTGATTGGAAACTTTTGAATATGAATTAGATATTAGATGATACTAAAAATGTTATTAATTTTTTTAGATAATAATGATGGTATTGGGGTTATGAAGAAAAACATTCTTTTAAAAAATATATATATTTTATTTTTAAAAAATGTATTTTTCTTGCCCTGGCTGGTCTGGCTCAGTGGTTGGAGCGTTGGCCTGTGGACCAGAGTTCCAGGTTCAGTTCCCATTAGGGGCACATACCAAAAAAAAATAAAAATTATTTATTTTTATTAATTTTAGAGAGAGAAGAAGGGAGAGGGAGAGAGAGATAGAAATATCGATGAGAGCCCTGGCCAGTTTGGCTCAGTGGTTAGAGCATCGGCCTGCAGTCCAGAGAGACCTGGGTTCGGTTCCCACTAAGGGCATGTGCTTCAGTTGCAGTTTGTCCCTTGCCCTGGTTGGGTCGTGTGGGTGGCAACCATTCAATGTGTCCCTTTCACGTCGATGTTTCTCTCTCTCCTCCTTTCTCTCCCTTCCACTCTGTCTGAATAAAGAATGGAAAAATGTCCTCGGGTGAGGATAAAAACAAGAAATATCGATGAGAGAGAACATCAATTGGCCACCTCCTGCATGCCCCCAACTGGGGATTGGGCCCACAACTTGGGCATGTGCCCTGACCGGGAATCGAACCAGTGACCTCGTGGTGCATGGGTGGATGTCCAACCACCAAGCCACACAGACCGGACTCTATTTTCTTTATGTTTGAATTTTTGTAATAATAAAACAATTTTAGCACCTTCCCTATAAGGACCACACAGGTGCCTTTTCGGTCCCCCTCCTCTTCCCCTCAGGCCCATTACCTTTAGCGTTTACCTTTCTCTCTCCTAAGCTCCAAGGGCTCCTTCTTTTGCCTCTGTAACTTGTTTCCTGAGCCCATTCCTTCTACAGCTCACTTCTACCTCTGTGACTTTCTAAATAAACTTTCTCTTACAGTTTGAAAATAAATAAAACAATTTTTTTTTTTTATCCTCACCTGAGGACATTTTTCCAATTTTTTTGTTCAGGTAGAATGGGAGGGAGAGAGAGGAAGAGAGAAAGAGAGAGAAACATCAACGTGAAAGGGATACATCGAGTGGCTCCCTCCCGCACAACCCAACCAGGGCCGGGGACAAACTGCAATGGAGGTACGTGCCCTTAGTAGGAACTGAACCCGGTTCTCTCTGGACCACAGGCTGAGGCTCTAGCCACTGAGCCAAAATGGCCAGGACAATAAAACAATTTTTTAAAAGATGACTAGTACCCTGGCCGGTTTGGCTCAGCGGTTAGAGCGTCAGCCTGCGGTCCAGAGAGACCCGGGTTTGGTTCCCGCTAAGGGCACGTACCTCAGTTGTGGTTTGTCCCCAGCCATGGTTGGGTCACGCAGGTAGCAACAACTTGATGTGTCCCTTTCACATCGATGTTTCTCTCTCTCTCCCTCCCACTCTATCTGAACAAAATATCGAAAAGTGTCCTTGGGTGAGGATAAAAAAAAATGTTTAAGACAGTAAATTTAATTTTATGTTTGTGATCATAATTACGAGTACAAATTTTTTAAAATGTTGTGGTTGTCTATTGGAATGCAGAAATTATGCAGGCTGCCTTGGTATAACCACATCTCATCTCCACAGAAGCCAAATAGAAAAGGGGAAAACAAGTAATCTAAATTCCCTCATTCACTTACCCTGCAGCAGGTACTCCATCATGTTAATGGTGCCCCCAGTGACAGGCATCATGGTGACAGGAGGTGCCTCCATGGTGTCTGTTTCAAAGATGAAGAACTTAGACTGGATTCAGTCCTCAATCAAGTATGGCTCAAGATACACCTGGAGAAGAATTACACTTATTAATACATCAGAGATGTGGAGACACCAGATCTGCTTATGTCATTGACCTTGACATCAAAAGATTCATTCATCCATTCAAAACTTTTTGAGTAATTGCCATAACCCAGTTTCAGGAACTGATGATACAGAAATATACAAAGGAGACCTGATCATGGAGTTACAGCATAATCTTCCAGTCTCAAGGTCTGAAACCTCTAAAAGTTTTCTGTGTAATTTTGAAGAGGTCATTAAACCTCTCACTCTGGGGCTCAATGTCTTCCTTCAAAAATGGGGTCGACAAAAAAATTAATTAAAAATTAAAAAAAAAAAAAAAATGGGGTCAACAGCCTGGCTGGTGTGGCTCACTAGTTGAGGCGAGAATCCATGCACCAAGAGGTCACCGGATTTCCGATCAGGGCACATGCCCAGGTTGTGGGCCAGATCCCCAGTCCGGGGCATGCAGGAGGCAGCCAGTCGATGTTTTCTTTCATCCATGTTTTCTCTCTTGGATGTTTCTATCTCACTCCCCTCCCCTCTCTCTAAAATCAATAAAGAAAAAAAAAAATTTTTTTAAATGGGGCTAACGATATTTTTAAAAAACCAAGGCTTTGTGGCTCATAATTCATAATGAACATGCAATAACATTCAGAAGAACTGAATGGTGACTTAAGGGGTTTGCCCATCCTTCTACTTATAGATAAGGATGTTGAGAATCAGAGAGGGACCCAAGGACACACAGCAAGTCGGTGGCAGAGGCTGGCTCAGACAACAATCTAGGCTTCTGCCTCTCTGAAAACACCTATTAAAGCGAGCCCGGCGGAAGCGTGAAGTTCTTTTAGAATGGTTTGGGTCCTCCTAAGCCACCACGGGGAATACGTGCCCACTTACAACACAAACACACCGCCACGCGCGCTGCAGCTTCTCGCAAAGCAGGGAGTTATAGCCACCCAAGCACCTCGGAGCTTTTGAGGGACAATTACCCCCGGCCCTAAAGTTAGAGCCCACTGTACAGTGCAAAAGTTTCTCCTCCCTTTACAGTTTCCGACCAGAAGCCGACGTCGCGCGAACCTCCACACCGCCGCCCCGCAACGTAAGGGTGCCGAGAGGGCTTAAAACTCGCTCCTTGCCCGGCTAGCAGAAGCGCATGCGCAAGATGTGTGGCTGCGGTATGGAAGATGGCTGCCTCCTTTGAAGCGGTCTTCTGGGAGTTACCGGCAGGGGGTGGGGGAATGACGTCACAGGCCGTCCTCCAGGAACATATTTATTTTTTATCAAGTTCGACGACCTGGAGATGTTTTTGTCTACGAAATCTCTTGGAACTGACGGAAAAAGAGCCTGGGGCAGGGAGCTGCTGAAAAAAGGGGAGACTCTGTTAAACACTTTTTGTTGGGTACATGAAGGGGAAAATGAAAAGACCCCCTTTACTGCTTAGCATAATGTTATGAACAGTTAGTGAGCTCAGCAATATACGTAGAATTTTTCACTTTATTGTGTATATTTTACTTCAATTAAAAAATATAAGGAGATAAGTAAATTCAAGGAATGTATTTTGAATGCTGCTGGTCTGTAAAGTATATAAGGTGAGGACAAAGTAGGCACTAGTTAGGTGAATGAGGCAGTCTTCTAGAGAGAAAAATTTAAGGAGACACCAAAAACCTCAATAACTAAGGTAAATCATATTTTAATGCATTATTTTGCAAACTTAATACAAAAGAATCCTTAACAAACAAAATATCAAGATTTTAAAATGGATCTACCCAGCAGCCCTATAAGCCAAGTACAATTATTACTGTAATTTTACAGATGGGAAAACTTAGGGAAGGAGAACTTAAATAACATGCAAGGAAGTGGAGAGGCAGGGATACAGATATAAGCTGCTGACTTCAGCGTCCACCTCTTAAATTACTACCACTGCCCCTTCCTGTTTCCCCTCTGCAACCTATATTACTTTTCCTTTATTTATTTATTTATTTATTTAGTTTTGTTAATCCTCACCCGAGGATATTTTTCCATTGATTTTTTTTTAGAGTGGAAGGGAGAAGGGGGGAGAGAGAGAGAGAGATTGAGAGAGAAAGAAACACTGATGTGAGAAAGACACATTGATTGGTTGCCTCCCTGGAAACCCTGACTGGGGCGGGGGGATTGAACCTACAACCCAAGTACATGCTGTGCTCTTGACCAAGAACCAGACCCAAGACTGTTTGGTCCACAGGCCAATGCTCTAACCTTGGAGTCAAACCTGCCAGGGCATTCATTCTTTTTTTCTTTTTAATTGAAAATTTCTTGAAAGTCTATGTGCTTTAGACATTTTATTAACTGTTGATTTTGTCTCTGCCCTCAAAAGAGTTTATTAAATGGAGACAGTACCATGGGATTTGACACAGGATATTTGATCCATCTTGGGGCCATCAGAGAAGGATTACCAAAAAGGTAATGCCCAAAGTAACTTGAAGGAACAGTATGTGTCAGCCAGATATGGGAGGGAAGGGAATTCAGGTAACGGGAACAACATGTACAAAAGGTCATTGAATTAAATAGAATTAAGATATAGAATTTGGAGGAAGGGTAAGAAATATCTGGAGAAGGGATCAGGCCCAGATCCTGGAGGACTTTGCATATCAGACTAAAACACAGATGTAAACTTTAAAAAGATCACTCTGTCATCCTGTCGGAGTGGCTCGGTTGAGCGTCATCCTGTGCACCAAAAGGTTGCCGGTTCAGTTCTGGTCAGGGCACATACCTGGGTTTCGGGTTCAGTTCTCTTTAGGGCCACGTACAGAAGGCAACCAATCGATGTTCCTCTCTTACATTGATGTTTCTCTCTCCCTTCTCTCCCTTCCTCTCTTTAAGCATGTCCTCCGGTGAGGATTAAAAAAAAAAAAAAAGATCACTCTGGCTGCAGTGTGGAAAAAAGCTTGGGAAAGAAGGGCCTGGAGAAAGAAGACCAGTTAGGAGCTCTGACACAACTCCAAATGAGAGATAATTGCAGAAGAAGACAGAATTAAAAAATATAAAAGAATGATTTGATGAGTAATCAGAAATTTAGACAGGGAAAGAGAGTCATAAATGTCTAGATTTCTACCTTGGCTGGCATGGTAGTGCTTTTTTTGTGCTAGGTAACAGAGCAGTGTAGGTGAGGTAAGAAAGATGAGTTCATATGTAGGTACATTGAGCATGAGGTGTTTATGGGACACCCAAGTGGCAGTGTCCATTCAGAGTTCAGGGGAGAGGGAGCTGGGCTAGAGGTAGAGATTTTATAGTCAGAGCTTCATAGATGGCAGCTGAAGATGTAAGAATAAATGAGATCACCCTGAGAAGGGGCAGAAAAAAAAGAAGACAGCTAAGAGCTGGACCTTGCAAACAACTCTGTCAGTGGTTAGAGCTGCACATACCCCAGGGCTTAGGATGTGCCTCCTGATCCAGCCTGGTGGTTCACAATGTTGTGCAGAGTACAAGCTCTTAGTGCCGTAATTAATGATTAGAGGAGGTTGTAAAATTGCTGGGCTCTCTTTTCCTATATAGGCACTAATTTAAGAATGGAAAGTTCAAGTGAATTATGGGTCCTTAGAGGCATCATAGTATTTACTCAAATTTTAGCTGGCATTGTGAAGTGGATTAAACTAAAATGAAAAAAGATAGATAGAAAATGGGTGAACAATATGATAAAATTTGGACAGGGCCTAGGAGTTAAAGGGGTAGGTTTCTCTCATAAAGATGTGAGATCTGCGCCCTGGCCAGTTTGGCTCAGCGGTTAGAACGTCAGCCTGCGGTCCACAGAGACCCAGGTTCAGTTCCCACTAAGGGCATGTACCTTGGCTGCAGTTTATCCCCGGCCCTGATTGGGTCGTGTGGGTGGCAGCCACTCGATGTGTCCCTTTCACATCGATGTTTCTCTCTCTTCCTCTCCCTCCTTCCCGCTCTATCTGAATAAAAAAGGAAAAATGTCCTCAGGTGAGGATAAAAAAAAAAAGATGTGAGATCTGGAGCTTAGAATGAGGCTCACTTCTGTTCTCCGCCACTACCCAGCTGTGCAACTTTGGGCAATTCACTTCCTCCTCTGAGCCTCAGCTTCCTTTTTTGTAAAATAGAGATTTAAAAAACTTTCTAAGGTAAAAGAAATAAAATGAGATGTTTATGAAACACTTGGCATAGTGCCCAGCTTGTAAGCAATTAATAAATGGTAGCTATTATTATATTTTATATCTCTCATTTGAGCAAGTACATTCTGTTTTATTGAATATATTTTATGCATGTCTCATCTCCTTGAATAGATTGTATAAACATCTTGGAATAAAGGAATCATGTATATTCTTTATATGTGTGTGTCTTAGCTCAGACTATTATAACAAAATACCACGAACTGGGTGGCTTTTAAAAAATCCACTTTTCACAGTTCTGGAGGCTGGAAGTCTGAGATTAGGGTGACAGCATGGTCAGGTTGTAGTGATAGCTTCTTCTGGGTTGCAGATTACTGACTTCTATCCTCACATGATGAAGAGCAAAGCAAAACAAACTGAGGACTCTTGTAAGAATGCTAATTCCATTCATTAGGGCACTGCCCACATGACCTCATCTAATCCTAATCACCTCCTAAAATCCACACCTCCTAATACTATCACATTGGGAGTAAGGTTTCTTCTTTTTTTCAATTTTTATTAATTTATTTTTGTTACAGATGTCCCCCCCCCCCCCGCCCCAGACACTCTCCTCCCAATCCTGCCCCCTGGAGGTGAGGTTTCAACACATGAATTTGGGGGACAGAAACATTCAGTCCATAATGTGCTTTTACATGAAGTAGGTGTTCAAAAATGTTGTTGAACACATCACAGTAGCTACCAATTATTGAACAGTTGCTATGCACCAACAACTTTACACTATATGTGTGTAAATATGCCAAATGCTGCTAAAAAGTAGATACTGCATTACCATCTTTATTTTACAGAGGAGTAAAAAGAGGTTCAGAGGTAAAGTGACTTGCCTAAAGCCAAATAACTAGCGAATGTCAGAACTCTAATTCAAATTCAGTTCATTCTGACACCAAGCCTCTTTCCTGTGCTTCCTTCTGAATTCATGGGCTCTTTCTCTATGTGACTTTACTCATTTTTACAATTAATGGCAGCAAAGGAGGAGAAAAATTCAGACATTAATGCCTCTCAGCCAGTCACTAGACTGGGTTCAAAGAAGTAGGACCAGTTCTTGGCCAACCTTCATCAGGGACAGTAGACCATCCGTATGGATTGCAAGGCACATGTACTTATTCACAATTCTTTTATTAGCTTTCTAGAATGGCCTTATGAGTAATAAGATCTACCCCCATTATATGCAATGCTAGGCTCTCAACCTTAGTGTTGCAAACTAATACTTCCTCAGGAATGACCTAACATTTATTGGATGCTTCCTATATGCATAGCCCTATGGGAAAGGTACAACTTTTGGTTTTCAACCTAATTATCTTCAGCATCCTTATCAGTTCATGTCATTCCTCCACTCAGAATCCTCATCATGCCTACACAATCTGCCCCATCACCTCTTCCTCTTTGACCATATCTCAATCATTCCTATCTGTGCCTACCCACTCCCCATCCACTCAGCTCGAGCCACACTGTTCTCATGGCTTGTATTTGAACATGTCAAGGATGCTCCCATCTTAAGTGCTTTGTAATTGTTGTACAGTCTGCCTGGAACTCTCCTTTTCCACTGAACTGCATGATTCACTCACTTCCTTGCTTCCTTCTAGTCTCTGCTCAAATCTTTATTAGAGAGGGCTTCCCTGACCACCTGTTTCAAATCACAATCCACTATCTGCCCTACCCCCCGACCCTAATACCTTGCTGTATTTTTCTTCATAGCACATTTGACTAGGTGACACAATGCCTACTTACTGATTAAAATCATACACTCCGCCCTGGCCAGTTTTCTCAGTGGTTAGAGCATCAGCCCACGGACGGTAGAGTACCTGGTTCTGTTCCAGGCGGGAAGGGCACGTTACCTCGGTTGCAGTTTGTCCCTGGCCCCGGTTGGGGTCAGCCACTTGATGTGTCTCTCTCACATCAATGTTTCTC